AAAAATTAGGGACGATAATGAACGGGTAGCCTTAATCTATCAGTTAAAAATTAGGGACGACAATGAACGGGTAACCTTAATCTATCAGTTAAAAATTAGGGACGACAATGAACGGGTAGCCTTAATCTATCAGTTAAAAATTAGGGTAGTGTTTGGGTAACTTTTTCTCAAACTTCTGAAAGAAACAAGCAAGTCTTTCAGATGGCGTTCAAATTTAAATTGTTGCTTCTTAATTCGCTGAACAAATTTAAAATCGTGATTTAATCTTCTTTTAATTTTAATTCTGTCATAGAAAGGATCTTGGAGCTCTAATTTGTTTTGTTTTTGTCACAGGGAACTCAAGTGACAATGATGTTGATGATGAGCACGTGTGTGGATCGTGCCAAACAGGGTTTTTGGAATTAGAAGACTTCCTGACACACAAGAAGACCTGCATGACGAAACGATTGATGGCCACACTGGGGGAGCTTTCATCCCCTAAAGATGGGAAACATAGTCCAGCGTCTGTCTTGAATTCCGTTTCAGCAACATATGATGACCATTGGTCACAGAGGCAGGACTGTCGTGTAAATAAAATTATCGGCAAAGTGGACTCTCTGATGCAGTCCTTACCAGATACAGAATGCAAAGACTTCTTTCATGATAGGTCATCCACAAAGTTTGAACATATTCAGGAGCCGACTCCATCTTTGCTGAGAAATAATCTGTCTCGTTCAATGGATTCTATGCAACAAGTGACGTCTTTTAATAATAGTCTTCTAAGTGTTCTACAAAATTTGCAAATGGCAGAACCTCGTAAATCTTCTCCTTCTGCAAGAAGTCCTTGTGAACAACTGGAAGTTTTGCAGTCGGCGCTCTGTAACCTTCAACATCAACAGTTTTTACAACTTCAGGTCATTCGAGAACTGCAGGTTCACATAACTCATAGAAATATGTCATCCGGTACAAGTTCTGATGCAAAGGTTACTCCTTTCCATCACTCCCTAAACTCAATCAGTGGTTCCCTTCTTCATCAACAAACACCTCCTCATAATCACAAGAGTGACAACTCTCTTCATCAAACAACACCTCAAAACCACAAGAGTGACAACTCTATTCATCAAACACCAACTCAAGACCACAAGAGTGACAACTCTATTCATCAAACACCTCCTCAGAGTCACCAGGTTGACGTTTCTTGTGAATCAAATAATCTTTCTGTCAGTCACCAATGTACTGAGTCTTTGTTTCTAAAAGAACCAAACACGCTCGACCTTCTGCAAAGACATACCGAAGAAGCTATTCAGAATACGATGTTTGAAGGGCCTTTCTTGCTTAGAGGCCTGTCTGGAGTGGTACTCAACAAAGGTATTAAAGGTCCTGAGAAAGGAACTGAAACCAGTGTATTGGAAGAAGAACAAGGGTTTAAGAAATCAGCACAGTGTCAACATCAATGTAATTATTGCAGGAAAGCATTTGGAAGTGATAGTGGCTTACAAATACATCTAAGATCTCATACTGGTGAGAGACCTTTCAAGTGTAACGTATGTGGGAACCGTTTCTCAACTAAAGGTAATTTGAAAGTCCATTTTCAGCGGCACAAGGATAAATATCCACACATTGAAATGAATCCTAACCCAGTTCCCGAACATCTCGACAAACTGTTTCCACTTCTGGAGCCTCAAATTCCTCGCACGGAGTCCTCAGAACGCTATGTGCTTCAAGAAATGGGAAACATTCAAAGAGTTAGTTGTTTTCCATTAAGAATGGTGGACACGCCATCACAATCTGCCTTCACAAGTACGATAGATAAAACAATTCTGAAAACCTCAAGAGCTCCCACTGACGAAGTTACAACAAATATTAGAGATAATAATTTCAAATTCGGTTTGGAAACTGATTCCTCAGAAAACAGTTTTCTTTCTAGCGAGAGCCCATTTGACAAACAAAGTGTTAATCCAGACCCTTGCCTTCCTAATTCTTCACGTGAGTCCCAGTATGAAGACGGTTTTGAAGACATGGACACAGAAGAAGGTAAACCTGGAAATTATCTTTTGTCAGCAGAAAGTTCACTTTCACCACCTACAACTACATCTGGCTTGAGTTTCTTTTCTTCCACTGTTTTAAAAGATAGCCAAATTTCTCAGCCAGAATGCCACAACTCCGAATTGACTGAATTCCCAATAAGGACTTCAAACAAATCAGAACTAATGTCAGCAAATAAGAGTCAACCTGGTGATTTATCATCTTATCAAAACATCTTGGTAAAACCGTTGGAGCATCTCGTTCAGAAATCAGATGCATCGGAAACGTCAAAGCTACAAACTCTAGTGGACAACATTGAAACTAAAATTAACACTGATAAGTGTGAGTGTCGTATATGCCATCAATTATTTAGTTGTAAAAGTTCTTTACAAATGCATTACAGAACTCACACTGGAGAAAGACCCTTTCTGTGTAAGTTATGTGGAAGAGCTTTTACTACTAAAGAAAACCTGAAGGCTCATAAGAGGCTACACAGAGTCGAATCGGTAGAGGGAGTTTACGGCAGTAACTACCTATGTGATTTAAACAATCAAATCACGAGTTTATCTGAAGCTAGCAGTGCGAGACTAGTTGATGTTTATCATCCTGGTTTGTTGTTTTCTAACAGCAAGACTTCTGTTGTTCCTCCAGTTTCCGGATCTCCAAATTCTTCAAACCAAGTATCTGACAATTCAGAACAATCTCGGTCACCAATAAGCTCTATTGAACCCTCGTTAGTCGAAAACGATGATAGATTAATTGAAGATCTCGAAAACCCAAGTTTGAATGATAGTGACAATATCGTCGGCTCGTCCAGCAAAACCAATCTAAATCCTGAACATTATCCTCCAACTTCTATTCAGACTGACATGCCTCAAAAAGGATGCATACAAGAAACCTTACCAGTCCTAAAGAACCACATAAAAACCACCAGCTATATACAAACTGAAGAACTTTATCCTGGTTCAACCAACATATCACCTGCCCCATCTTCATATAATACATCGAATTTTGGATTTCACACCAGTGAGAGGCCACTACCCCAAAGTGAAAACAGTACACTCATTCAAACGGACCCTTTGTGCAGAATGGCAAAAACAGGAAGCCCAGAAGTTCCCAAAGAAGACACACTTGGTGGTAATTCAGTAGAACCACAAGAACCATTGTTTAAGTCTACCCAACATGCTGGGATGCTATTAGTATCTCCAGACTCATCGGGATTCAGATCCCTACCGTCGACTATACAATATGATCATGCAATCCTAGACATCACACCTAAATCTTGCATAGCCTCATCCTCTAGCGAACCAACATTTTCAGTATCAACAGCTGCATTTTCTGGACTTCCCTTCCCCCCGACACCTGGATTTAATAAAACAACGTGTGGTGTTTGTTTCAAAACATTCGCTTGTAGCAGTGCATTAGCCATCCATATTCGAAGCCACACCAAAGAACGCCCGTTCAGATGTAATCTTTGTGATCGAGGATTTACCACCAAAGGGAACATGAAACAGCACATGTTAACTCATGACGTTGGAGATATTTCTACACAGAATAACCCAGCATCTTCTCCCTCCAGCTCCACAAGTTCATATACTGTGAAGAGTTTTCTCCCTACTTCTTCCAGTAGAAATACTCAACCTGCAACTGACGACGTGAAAAATAAAAGAACACATGAAAATGTCACGCCTCAGTCATTACCTAAAAGACCAACGGGACTGTCAAAACATGAATGCCTTATCTGCAACAGACCTTTTTCTAGTGGCAGTGCACTCAATATTCACATGCGCACTCACACTGGAGATAGACCTTTTAAATGCAATGTCTGTGACAGAGCTTTCACTACAAAGGGGAACCTGAAGGTTCACATGGGGACGCACATGTGGGCAAACAACTCATCAAGAAGGGGACTCAATATGGAATTCATGGACTCCCCTACTTTTAGAGTGGCTCATCCTCCCTTACCTGGCGAATTTCAACTGCTACGCCCTAATCTTTTCTTTCCGCCTCTGTCGCCTCTTTACATGAAAGGATTAATCAAGCCCAGCATGAATCAAATATCGGTGATCCACAGCTCGGTCAATATGCAAACCAACTGTCCGCCTGTGGGCCATCAGTCAGCAAGTAAACCACAAACAAGCTCTGAAACTTTGGATGGTACTCAGGGGCAGGAAGTTTGTTCTTCTCAGAAATCAGAATCAGATTGTCCTTCTGAAAAGTCCCAAACAAACTGTAGCCCCGCGGGGCCACAAGTAATTCGTCCTCTTCAGGAATCAAATTCTAGTTGTTCTGAAAAGTCTCAAACAGGTCGTCCTCCTTCTCCTGAGATGTCACGAGCAAAATGTCACTCTGAGAATCTCCAAACAGGACCTTCTGCCACGGAGTCTGAAGGGCAGATTCACTGTCATCTGGAAGTCAAATCGTCTTCCGATTTACACTCCTCAGAAATAAAACAACAGAAAGAGCTCTGTGGTGAAGAGTTAAAAAACTACAACTTTTCATTGGTTCCGATCTTGAAATCCACAAGATCAGAGACCGACAAGATAAACTGAATAGTACTACGCATGCCCATTAGATGTGAATCGCTTCACTTTCAAAAAGAGGGGGTAAAGAGATACATGCACATATTTCTCTCACGGTCTCTTAGAAACAGGCCGGTTTTTGTGGTTCCTATTGCGAAACTAGTCCAATATGGAAACAAAGAATACACACAATTTACCTGATCCTGTTTAGTTAAACATTCTCCACTCTTGAACAACTTCATACCGAAACGTTTTGATATACTTAGGACATTTTCATAAAAATATGTTTTCAAATGAAATGGAAAAAAAACAACTGTTTACGTGAAGTATCTTAGGAATATAGAAGTTAAAAAATGGGACGAGAAATAGGATTCCCCCTTTTTTTTGTTTAAAGCAAAAGTGCGTAATGAGCTATCTGCGTTCTGTCCACCGCGGGGAGTCGAACCCCGGATTTTATAGTAATAATTTCGTAAACTTGCCGCTGACCTAATGGGAACGGGAGAGGGATATGTTTTGGATTATTTAGGCAGATAAATTCCAGTTCAACTTGGCGTTTCATGTTTGCGTTCAGCTTAGACTGAAGTTGTGCTTAACGTTGTACATAATATCGTGTTACCGTGAAAACAGTTAATTTAGGTATACTAAAAACGGTTCTTGGTAAGTCTAACCAAACTAATCCTGGACGTAAGAGATTGCTGGTTAGAAAAATAAGTTCACGTGGAAAACTGTAAAAAAAAAAAAACCGGAAGGAAAATAGAGAATCTGTGTAGTTTGTGAAATGACAATATTTCAGAAAGTATATAGGTTTTATAATAAATAAAAAAAAACTTTTTTTTTTTAAGCTTAAATGAAATATGGGGAAAGGGGCGGAGGTATGTAACTGTGACGTAGTTGGTATTTTTCAACCCGAACGGCAAGTTATGCGATACATGGGCTAAACTGCTAGATTAGGGACGAAGAAGTCCCAGTCAATATTAGCCGTTTTTTATTTCGAATTGCTGGCGAGAGGATGGACAAACAGTCGGTAGTATAGGCCGCCTATGTGGTAACTCTTAACCGAATAGCAGGATCGATTTGTCAATTTTCTAATACCCTCGCAACTTAAAGTTCGAAACATCTACAGAAGTATATCGGGGGCTCGAACGTTAGACCTTACGATACGCAGTCCAGTACGCCAACCACCGATTGAACATAAAAGTTAATACCTTAGCACTAGCTATGTTCCGACTTACTTCTGGTTAATTTAATCATACCATAAAGTCGTGTAGCAGGTTTTATGTCCCATTAAAAATCATAAACATATTATAATTTAATCTGCTAAATCTACTTAACAAGAAATGTTGTGACTGTAGCTTACACTTTTCCACGTGAAAATAGATAAGTTAGAACGCCTCTGGTTAAACACCATACAGTCGTAGTGATTTTTTGTTTGTTTCACGCAAAACTACACAAGGGTTATCTGCGCTAGCCATCCCCAAATTTACATTAAGAAAATTAGAAGGAAGGCAACTAGTCAAAATCACCCACCGCCAACTGTTAGACTACTCTAACCAAATAGTGAGACTTGACCGTTATTCTTATATTGCACCCTCGGCCCCAGAGTGCTAAGCACACTTTTGCAGCAAAAGGGACGCGAACCACGGATCCTCGGTTTCGTAATCCCATCGCAGATAGTATTTTATTTTGTATTAAAATAATAAACACTTTATGATATACTTTGGTAAACTATTTACACATGGAAATAGATAAATTGCAGCGCCTCCTGGTTAAGGTTTGTATAAGTTGCACCATACAACTGAGAATTACTATAGCTTCAATCATGATGTTTGGCTGTACCTTCTTTTTGTGTGTATTTATGTGTGTTAGCAATATATATATATTGTGCATGTTTATAACAAACACTGGAGATTTAACCACAATAAGTTGTTTATGTAAAAAAAAAATAGTTAGGGTTAACTGAAAAAAAAGGAGAGAAGCAAATGTCATTTGAACTTAGTTTTATTTAAAACATTAATTTATTGAATAACGGAATTTGTCAATGTTAAAATAGTAATTGGGACGGTAACTGTATAGGTATGGTTTAGGTTTTGTTTTTTTGTATTACTGAAGAACAAACTTTAAATACAAAAGAAGGCTAATGTTAAAAGTTAAATTTTGTTTGGGAACTGATATCATAGATTTGTTTCTTTTTGTTTAATAAATGTGGTACTTTTTTATCTTGCATTCTGTCACTTTATCGCTAGTATTTGGCACATTAATATAAATACATTTTCTAACTTAATTATAAAGACAAAGTTTAATCCACTGAGATGTCGCTGTTTTACGTATCAACAATGACTTTCCAAGCATTCAAAACAATGTATCAAAAGGTAAATATCTACTTCTCTGTTAGCGTTATGTCATTTAATGACATTATTGGTATGTTTCTCTGTTAGCGTTATGTCATTTAATGACATTATTGGTATGTTTCTCTGTTAGCGTTATGTCATTTAATGACATTATTGGCATGTTTCTCTGTTAGCGTTATGTCATTTAATGACGTTTTTAGTATGTTTCTCTGTTGGGGTTTCGTTATGTAATGAAGGTAATGTATGTTTTCTTTGTTGACGTTTCGTTTTGTAATGAAGGTAGTGTATGTTTCTCTGTTGACGTTTCGTTTTGTAATGAAGGTAGTGTATGTTTCTCTGTTGGCGTTTCGTTATGTAAAGAAGGTAGTGTATATTTCTTTGTTGGCGTTTCGTTATGTAAAGAAGGTAGTGTATACTTCTTTGTTGGTGTTTCGTTATGTAAAGAAGGTAGTGTATATTTCTTTGTTGGCGTTTCGTTATGTAAAGAAGGTAGTGTATATTTCTTTGTTGGCGTTTCGTTATGTAATGAAGGTAGTGTATATTTCTTTGTTGGCGTTTCGTTATGTAATGAAGGTAGTGTATATTTCACTGTTGGCGTTTCGTTATGTAATGAAGGTAGTGTATATTTCTCTGTTGGCGTTTCGTTATGTAATGAATGTAGTGTATGTTTCTCTGTTGGCGTTTCGTTATGTAATGAAGGTAGTGTATGTTTCTCTGTTGGCGTTTCGTTTTGTAATGAAGGTAGTGTATGTTTCTTTGTTGGCGTTTCGTTATGTAATGAAGGTAGTGTATATTTCTCTGTTGGCGTTTTGTTATGTAATGAAGGTAGTGTATGTTTTATTTGTTGGCGTTTTGTTATGTAATGAAGGTAGTGTATGTTTTCTTTGTTGGCGTTTTGTTATGTAATGAAGGTAGTGTATATTTCTCTGTTGGCGTTTCGTTATGTAATGAAGGTAGTGTATATTTCTTTGTTGGCGTTTCGTTGTGTAATGAAGGTGTTGTATATTTCTTTGTTGGCGTTTCGTTATGTAATGAAGGTAGTGTATGTTTCTTTGTTGGCGTTTCGTTATGTAATGAAGGTAGTGTATATTTCTTTGTTGGCGTTTCGTTATGCAATAAAACTAGACGTGAGCTTCTGCTTTATCTTATTTTACAACCGTTTCAAGGTCGAGATGCTAGTGATCCCAAGATGGCGACACACACACAATAATGCCCTAAGTTCTATCACAAAGAAACACAAAGTTCTAACAGTCAGGTCGTGATTTTCTCTTTTTAATGTCGGAAAGTTCGCGTGAATACTGTGGATGATTTTAATAAACATATCAACCATATTTCAATTCAAGAAGAGAAGAAAAAAATTAGAAAATCCAGCTTAAACATTTGCTGAAACGTCACAAAGTCCACAATTATGATAGGGACTAACGAAGTTACTAAAAACGTCTGAATAACCAGAACCAGGATAAAGGCTAACAAAAAAATACAAAAAATGTTCAACAAGCAGAACCAGGATAAAGGCTAAGAAAAAATGTTCAACATCCAGAACCAGGATAAAGGCTAACAAAAAATACAAAAAATGTTCAACAACCAGAACCAGGATAAAGGCTAAGAAAAAATAAAAAAAATGTTCAACATCCAGAACCAGGATAAAGGCTAAGAAAAATTTAAAAAGTTCAACATCCAGAACCAGGATAAAGGCTAACAAAAAATGTTCAACAACCAAAACCAGGATAAAGGCTAAGAAAAAATACAAAAACTGTTCAACAACCAGAACCAGGATAAAGGCTAAGAAAAAAAAACAAAAAATAGTTCAACATCCAGAACCAGGATAAAGGCTAAGAAAAAAATACAAAAAATGTTCAACAACCAGAACCAAGATAAAGGCTAAGAAAAAATAAAAAACTGTTCAACATCCAAAACCAGGATAAAGGCTAAGAAAAAAAAAATGTTCAACAACCAGAACCAGGATAAAGGCTAAGAAACGTTTCAACATCCAGAATCAAAATGTGACGAAATGGAGACAAACAAAAATTGACAAACGTCTCACAATTTAGAACCACAATACAGTAGAATAAAGGTTAATAAAGTCTAGCAGGAGACGTGCAAGTAAAGTCCAAGGCAATAAAATATCTCAACCACTTGGAATATTGACTACCCTAGTTTTCTCAAATATGTAAAGTGAAGGATTTTATCTATCAAACATTTTCTTTCATTTTCAGTGAAGTCCAAGACCCGAGAGCAAAGTCCCGTCTTTCACAACAAGTATCATTTGACACGCAAAAAAAACAAAAAACTAATAAAAATGGACAAGAAGGAAGAACAGAATAAGAAAACTTTAGGTCACGTGTGTTAGTTACGAGAATAACAAATGTGGACCAACAAACTTAAGATGTCATTTAACCACGTTGTTTTAGTGATCACTGTTGGAAATCGTTATTTGGATGTTCGCTTAGAAGATACGAGTTACAGATTATTTTTAATTAAACAAAAGATTTTCTCATTATAAAAGTAAATTTCAAACTTAGGAGGGATTAAATCTTGATATTTATCTCGAAAGATTAACTCCACGGCTGCGCAACGTTGTGTATGATGAATGGAAGGTGTAACGTTCAAATTGTATCTTAAATATGCTTTATATATATATATATATACACACACGTGTACATATACATAACGAAATAGACAAAAGTACGTACGATAGAAACAACAGAAACTGTGTAATGTTAACAATTTTCGTTTCCCACTATAATTCAAATATACTCCACTGACCAAGTGGTCTGCGTGCTCGGACTGTGGATTCGAGTGTTCACGGTTTGCAGCCCTTTGTCGATAAAGGAGCTTCGTGTTTTGGAGCCGTGGGTACCGACGGTTAATTCCCAAAATTCGGTCACACGAGAGTTGTCGATAAGTGCTGTTGCCTTCTCTCTCTAGTGTCGGATAGAACCTGTTCCTTTCGCTTCAAAACACTGAAATGGATATCAATAAATTAGAAACCTTTGTTATAATAGTCGTGCATGTTTTCATCTTGTGTTTGATGCGACAGTTCCTTTCCTTACACACCGTATAACTTCTGAAAAAAACAACGATCATCTAGATGGTTTTTAAAACAAGCACGAGAAACCCTGTGACTTTAATTAATCCCTGTCTTATATACAAACTGTGCAGTGCAATTAATTTGTACTTGTTGTTATCTCAGCTGTAAAATGTATATAAACTTAGTGGACATTTAAATGACCGTTTCGGATCGATCCCCTCACGCAAGTTACTGCTGATGAACTCGAGAAAGAAATTCCCCAGTTTTAAGAAAAACAAAACTTAAACTAAAAAATAAGTAAAAGATCTCTTTTTTTTTCTTTCGCGTAATTATTTAA